AGAAGTCGCTGGAAAAAGAAAACCGGGAAGACCAAAGATGAGGCGGATGGACAGAATCAGAGCTGACCTAAAGGAGCTTAGAATAGACGAACATCATGCCTTAAATCGGGAACACTGTGCGAAGATAAAAAATTCTTCCCTAACGACACGATTACGGACTGAGTTCGTACATGGCCTTGACGGACTTGAAACACTATTGACTCGCCGCGAGGGTAGTTTAAACTGCACGTACGAGAAGGTGAACACCGGCTTCTAAGTGAATGTGGTCACACCAAACTTTAACCTTCCTGGTGACTGAGGTCGTCGAGCTGAGGAATTCTAGTGCTGTTGGAGTTTCTATACAATGCTTGCATCTGAATGAGAAACGAGAGATCTTTTAATAGCTTGAAGATCCATTTTGTTTGCCTACTTGCAAGTCCTCCACCGTATATAGGGAAAGGAGATTGTCAAAAACAACAATAAGTGTAGTTAGGAACTATTTGCAATATAACAACGTAATTATGAGAATAAATTATATAAATAAGCTGTTTTTACAGGGGAATGTGCTAAAGAATTTAAACAGGACTTTTATATAATAAGATTTGATTCAAAGTATTTTGGGTCATTTCTTGGATTAAATATTGTGCTGTTGCAGCCATCGTTACTTGCGAGAGTATAGAGAAAGAAATCTCATTTTTTAAAATGACATATCGTATGTAGTATTTACTTTAATTTTATTAATTAGATGGGATTGTGTGTAAGGCAGCCTTAGCCACCAAGCTGGTAAGAAACCGTTACGAAGACAGATTGATTTGCGAGGATGCAATATTGAGGTAACTCCCTAAATTAAATAGCGAAACTCCAAAGTGAATTGATTTGATCAGGGAGAGAGATCCAGCCTTCCAGCTGGACCGTATCCTAGATTTCACCGCCTATAACATCATTCCCTGGAGAATCGTATGCAGCCTTCCAGCTTCCAGAGAATAGTGACAACGGGCGTATTAAAATTCCTCATATAATCCGCTTTTAAAAATATATTTCTTGTAAGAGGGTG